GCAATGAAATCGAAAATGCCATCAAAAGCCTACCAATAAAGAAAAGCCCAGGACCAGACGGATTCTCAGTTGAGTTCTACCAGACCTTCAAAGAAAAACTAACTAATGATGTCATGGAGAAATTATTCCATAAAATAGAAAAGGAAGGAACCTTCCAAACTCATTCTATGAAGCTAGTATCACCTTGATATCAAAATCAGACCAAGACACATAACGGAAAGAAAACTCCAGACCAGTATCCCTGATGAATATAGATGCAAAAATTCTTAATAAATACTGACAAATCACATACAAAAACATATTAAAAAGATAGTGCACCATGATCGAGTGGGGTTCATCCCAAGGATGCAAGGTTAATTCAACATCCAGAAGCCAATACACATAATTCATTATTTCAATAGATGCAAAAAAAAAATCTGACAAAATAGAGCATCCATTCATGTTAAAAACCCTAGAAAAACTAGGGATAGTAGGAACATAACTTAGCATTGTAAAAGCTATATATGTTAAACTCAAGTCCAAAGTCATTCTAAAAGGAGAAAAATTGAAAGCATTCCTTTTAAAAACTTGAACAAGACAAGGATGCCCTCTTTCACCACTTCTATTCAACATTGTCCTTAAAACTCTAGACAGAACAATTTAGAAGAAAGAAATTAAAGGTTTTCGAATAGGAAAAGAAGAACTCAAGCTATCACTATTTGATGATATGAGGATGGCCTTAGGCCTGAGCCTAAGCAACTCCATTTTTAAAATTCCAATTTGAAACCTGCAGTCTCACCAGGCACACCCACAGAGCCCTCCAGTATGGCCTCAGACAAGTTACTTCCCTTCACCCTGATAAACAGAGAGAAGCCTCTGGCAGGTTGTCCTCACCTGATAAAAGGGAAAGACAAGAAGATCAGGGTGGAGACCACCAGATCAGAGGTTTCTGACCCCAGGGTAAATGATGTCATGGAGAAATCCAGTGGTAGCTGATAAGGATTGCAAGGGGGGGGGGGTCAAAAAGCCCCCAAATTTAGTATAAATAATAGAGCTGATGAACAGGGATTCAGCCAGCCAAAACAAGGATGCGCTTGAGCTAGGGGGCCTGATGAAGACCTGGACTGACATCCCATCACGTGTTGTTTCCAGAGCCTCTGTGTGATTCTCACTGCTCTCAAACTCTACCGCCTCGTCTGGACCCTGGTGAGAGCTGCAACTTCTCCCTATGTGACCCTCTCCTCAACAGGTCATCCACTCTACACAAGAAGAAGCCTGCTTTGGTCTGAAACCTGATCACTGCTGTCTGAGTGAGAGTGCATCTGCTGGACGTAAAGCCTAAGGCTTGAGACCTTTGAACTTAGCACACAGAGGGAATGTCTTTCACTAGCCTGTCATGATTAAGTGTGTTTGCAGTGCTTAGAATTAATCTAGAACTGTTTGTTGTGAATTAATTAATCCAGAATTGTTTACTGTGAATTGATTATGTCTATTGCAGTGACTAGCATTAAGGATTGTCATTTTCCTGATTAAGAACCAATAGAATTAAATTGTATTGAGTAATTTGAGTTAATAAAGCACCAAAAGGGGCAGAAGCACGTGGACATTCTTTATTTTTCCCCCTCTACTGCATATGTTGCAATTTTGCCCCCTGGCAACAGACAATGACATGATTCTATATTTGGAAGATCTGAAAAATTCCACCAGAAAACTTCTAGAATAAATGAATTCATCAAACTATCAGGATATAAAATCAACACTCATAAATCAAACACATTCCTATATATCAGTGATGAAACTATGAAAGAGAAATGAGGAAAACTACCCCTATTCACCATAACCTTAAAAAAAAATACTTGGGAATCAATCTACCAAAAGAGGTGAAAGATCTCGACAATGAAAACTACAGAACACTAAAGAAAGAAATTGAAGAAGACCTTAGAAGATGGAAAGATCTCCTATGTTCTTGGATAGGCAGAATTAATATTGTCAAAATGGCCATTCTACAAAAAGCATTTTATGGATTTAATGCAATTCCTATTAAAATTCCAATGACATTCTGCATAAAAATAGAAAAAGCAGTCATGAAATTCATTTGGAAAAATAAGAGGCCCAGAATAGCCAATACAATCTTCAGCAAGAAAAGTGACGCACAAACATCACAATACCAGACCTTAAATTGTACTACAGAGCTTTAATAACAAAAGTGGCATGGTATTGGCACCAAAACAGACATGAAGACCAATGGTTCAAAATAGAAAACACAGAGACAAACTCACATGAATACAGTTAACTCATACTAGAAAAAGGTGCCATAAACATACAGTGGAGAAAAGAGCCTCTTCAACAAATGGTGCTGAGAAAACTGGAAATCTATATGAAGCAAAATGAAATTAAACCCCTATTTCTCACCCTACACAAAACTCAACTCAAAGTGGATCTAAGACCAAGCATTAGACCAGAGACCCTGAGCCTAACAAAAGAAAATGTAGGCCCAAATTTATATTATGTTAGCTCAGGAATCAAATTCCTCAACAAGACTCCAAAAGTACAAGAAGTAAAATCAAGAATCAATAAATCAGATAGTATCAAACTAAAAACCATCTTCACAGCAAATGAAACAATCAAGAGCATGAAGAGAGAGCCTACAGAATGGAGAAAATCTTTGCCACCCACACCTCAGATAGAGCATTAATCTCCAGGATTTATAGAGAACTCAAATAACTTAACACACACACACACACACACACACACACACACACACACACACAAAACACCCCAAAACAAAAATAAACAAAAAACCAAATAACCCAATCAATAAATGGGCAAAGGAACTGAACAGGCACTTTGTAGTAACATTAGTCAACAAATATATGAAAAAATGTTCAACATCTCTAGCAACTTGAGAAATGCAAATCAAAACTACACTGAGATTTCATCTCACTCCAGTCAGAATGGCAATTATAAAAAAAAAAAAGTAACAACAAATGTTGGTGAGGATTTCAGGGAAAAGGCTCACTCATACATTACTGGTGGAACTGCAAATTGATGCAGCCAATATTCAAAGCAGTATGGAGATTCCTCAGAAAACTTGGAATGGAACCACCATTTGACCCAGATATCCCACGTGGTTTACATACAAAGGACTAAAAATCAGCATTTGCCAGTAAATGAATGGAGCTTGAGAATATCATGCTAAGCAAAATAAACCAATCCCAAAAAACCAAAGGCTGAATGTTCTCTCTGATATGAGGATGCTAATACAAAACTCAGATGCTAATACACAATAAGGTGTAGGGAAGAATAGAAGAAGTACTTTGGATTAGATAAAGGAGAATGAAGTAAAGGAGCTGGGATGGGAATAGGAAAAACAGTCAAATGAATCAGATATAACTTTCCTATGTTCATATATGAATGCATTACCAGTGTAACTCCATATCACGCACAAGCAAAAGAATGGGAAGTTATACTCCATGTACGTATAGTATGTCAAAATACATTCTATTCTTATGTGTAACTAAAAAAAAAAAGGTAAAATTAAAAAAAAATAAGACTTCAATTCCAATAGACTTGAGAGGGCTGGAACATCTCAAGTTCCAGCAATGGTTGGGACATCTTTATAATACATACATTCAATGATGTTGATCAATTTTTCATCACTACAATGCTTGAGATAAACAATTTAAAGGGAGAAAAGTTTATTTTGGTTCATGATTTCAGAGGTGCCAGACCATGGCTGATTGGTCCCATTGCTTTGGGCCTGTGGTGAGGCAGAACATCATGGCAGAAACTCATGGGCAAGGAGGCTCCAGCCAGGAGGCAAAGAAAGAAAGATATAAGGGGCCAAGAGCCCTCTCAAGGGCACACCTCTAGTGACCCAGCCCCACCAAGCCCCACTTCCCAAAGGTTCTACCACCTCTCAATATCACAAAAGGCTGACAGCCAAGCCTTTAGCACAAGGGTCCTTGGGGACACTTAAGATCCAAACCATAACAATGTGTATACCCAGTATGTATACAAAACCATAATAAAAATATGAGAAAAGGGCAAAATATTTCTAGAAACATATCAAAAAAGGATATTCAAATATAGGCGGGCTAGGGAAGAACCAAGGTGCTTTGGTTTAGACAGGGGGGAGTAAAAGGAGGAGAGGGGGAATGGAGGTAGGAAGGTAAAATAAATAGGACTTATTGCCCTATGTGCATATATGACCAGTGTAACTCTATATCATGGACAGCCAGAAGAATGAGAAGTTATACTCCATTTATGTATGATATGTCAAAATGCATTCTACTGTCATGTATGACTAATTAGAACAAATTAAAAAATAGCCAAAAATTTTTCAAAATGTGATCAAAGTCATCAGGAAAATACAACTTAAAACCACAGAGATACCATTAATATTCCCACCAGAATTATTAAAATGAAAAAGACTGACAATGCCAAAGGTCAGGAAGGATGTGGAACAACTGCAATTTCATACATAGATGTTAAATGACAATTTTTAAAAACTTTTTTGCTAAACAAATACATAACCATGTTCAGACACGTTATGAGAATATTAATAGCATTACTGTGCACAATAGCTGAAAACTTGAAATGAATGTCCACCAAGAGCAGAACATAGAAATATATTTTTATATAATAATATATTAGAATAATACATAACAATGAAAATGAATTAACCTCAAAATGAAAACATAATAAATTTCTCAAAATAATGCTAAGCAAATGCAGTCAGATACAGAAATGTTTTATACTCTATGATTTCATTTATATGAAGTTCAGAAAAACAAAATTACCCAAAGTGATTAAAGTCAGGATAGAGATTTCTTTGGAGAAGATGAAATATTTGGGGTGGGCCTGAAGGAGTTTCTTGGGTGCTACTAAGAACCTGCTTCTTGATCTGGGATCTGGTCACTATGTTAAAATGATTGGCCTACAAAGTTATTTGCATACATCCTGTATGAATGGTATACCCAAATTAAAATGTAAAAATGAAATGAAACACAGACACCTACATTGCTTTCCATTCTCTTGCTGTGGGGAGAAGCAAATCCGGCTGATGTTGCTGCTTTCAGTTTGGTTTTTAAACTGGGAGCATTTGAGAAAATTGGGCCAGGAGGAGTTCACCATCCCCAGGACAGACTCACAGCCTTCCTTTGCAGCCTCACAGAAAGATCTACAGGGCAGGAGGCCACGCCTAGAAGAAAAGAAAATGGTGAAAATGAATATTTTACTAAAATACTCCTCAAAAAATATCAATGTTAGCAACTTGTGCTGTAATGTTATTTGAACTTATATTTCCTACAGTCAACAACTTAAATTTCTGCATCCATACCTATGACAATGGTTTCAGTTATCATATTATCTGGATTCTAGAAAAATAATGTATTCCCTAACACATCATCTACCTACTTCTTGTGGTAGTAGGTAGTAGTAGGTAATCATTTATCTCAAATGATTATTTTTAAATTTTCTCTGCTAAAATTCACTGGCCAGTCCAAAAAAAAAAAAAAAAAAGATTTCTACTTGATATCAAAAGGAAAAATTTAACAGGGGAATGAAGGCCTCGAAATTGCAAAAGCAGAAGTAGGTCACAAAATAGGGTTACTCTTGTTTCTTTTACTTCCCTTTGAGAAATTCAAAATATCACTAAGAGATACACAAAGAAAAGTTGTTCTTAACTTCCCCCAGCCTCCCTAGAAAAGAAACATTACACAAAGTGGCAACTCAGGAGACCTTGCACAGTTATTCATTTATCTTTTCAGATTTTTATTTTGTCTTCTGCAGATAGAAAAGTACAAACAATTATCTATTAATGGTAAGAATAATGATGTCCCTGGAGCTTGTCTTTATTCACCTGAGATGCAATCAAACCACCCAGATCCACAGCTCTGTGGATAGAAAGTTGGATGCTAACAAGGCCAAGCCATGAAGTGTTTCCTTTCAGATACAGGTGGATTGCTCTGCCTTACAGTTGGAGGGTGCATCTTTTTGTCCTTGCTGGTCATCAGCCAAGGTCATTTCAATGGATTTTAAAGAAACTGGGGGGGGGGGACATAAATGTCAGTCAAATCAAAGCACACACTTCACAAATGTGGACATGATATCACAGCATCATACAATATTAAATGTGTAGGAAACCTTAAACAACACCTCATTCAATTCCTCCATTTTATAAGCACAGGCACTGTAGAATTTGGGATGTACTCAAGGTCACACAGCTCCTAACAGCAGCTTCCTAAGCAGAAGTAGGAAAGATCCCAGGTGTTTGAACATTCAGGCCATGCTCTACCTACTCTCCCATATCATTTGTTCTCAAATAAAGGCCTAATAATTGGATTTCAAAAAACTCCTTGATCAAACAAGCTCATATATAACACACCATTCTTACTTCTATAGATTACAGTAACACAATGGGTATGCCAGCCATTGAGATAAAATGGAACAGAGAAGTCAAAGAATCTTGAGGGAGGGAAAGACCTTGTTAAATATAAAAATGTAGAAAATGAATTATCAACAATTACATTCTAATAAAAAAAGTTTTTGAATTTCAGAACATCATGTTAGAAATTGAGCATATTTTAGAATCCTGACACAAAATTACCTATATACCTTACTTAATATGTAGCCAAATTTGATAGTGAAGGTTGGGAGAAGAAGTTTTACACCAGAAAGAATTACTTTTAGTAAATGAAATATGAATTGTTCCAGGCCAGTATCGTGGTATAAAAAGACACATGATTGCTGTTCAGAAAATATATTAGATACTTACAGAAATAAGAAAGTATCATTTAAATAACACTGCTTTAAAATATCTCCTTCGCTACATTTTATTCCAGAGAAGTTAGACTATATTTTGAAAAACAAAACTGGGGCACATAGTTAAGGAATGTGGAGAACATAGATCATTAGGCATTTGCTTACACTTTTAGGCACCTTTCTCAGGGTTTCACAAGCATTAATTTGTGCATTTCTCACAACAGCCTTATATGAGAGGTGTTATTACTATTATTTCTAATATACAGATAAGGAAACAAGCATAGGAGAAATAAGAAACTTGTCCTACTGAGTAATGAATGGCAAATCCAAGATTAGAACCCAGGCAGATTGACCCAAGGACCCATTCAATTAACTTACTACAGGCACGTTCTTCATGAATAGATGTTTCAATAGTACTACTCAAGGTTAATTTGCAACTTGATATGTATTTTCCCATTGCACAGCTACATTCAGGGTGGATGGGACCTCAATTCATTTGACAAAAGCATAGTACACCTGCAGTGAAATGTTGTATTTTTAAAGCGGCCAAGGAAGACAAAGAGAGGTTTCCACTTTCTTATCTAGGTATGAGACAGCCCACAGATGACTTGTCTTTGGTAAGCCCCTTTTGTCTTCTCATCCTAGCCAGGGTCCTAGTGTCCTGATGCCATCCCGACCACCCTGACTCCAGCACCCCACCCAGAAAACCACATCCACCAGAGGACTTAGAACATATTCTTCCCTTCCTGCAATCAAAACTGCATTCCCCACTGAAGCAGATCTTAAGTAGGCTTTCAAATAAGAGATGGGGGAAAAAACAGTATTACACAAAAATAGATGGACACTTACTTTTCTGGTAATTTTTGCATCTTTAAAGGAAGACTGCTTGCTAGCACAAAGCAGTCTTTGATGAAATTTCAGGCACCATTGGAAATTGAATAAAAATATTATCTAACATTTTTTGAAGGTGTGGAAGATTACTACAAATGACCTCTCCCAAGCAGTTCCCAGGCCTTTTCTCACTTCTGAAGCCGCTGTTTTTTGTTTCTTTAAATCATTCCACATCTTTTTTTCAGAATCTTTCCAGGGCAACACCAATGAAGTTTGATACAGGGGCCTAGCAGAACTGTTTCCATTTTCTAAAGTTAGGTTTTTTAATTCAGCAACTAACACGTTCTCATTGTTACCATGGTCATTTTTTTCTAAGTCTACCACCTATAACCTTCACATGGCCACCTCTCCACTGTCTGATCTTGGGCCAACAGTTCAGTCCTGCCAAGACTCAGCTTCTTCTTTTGAAAAGTGAGGGTTCTAGAAAATCTGAAGTTTGTACCATTTTTCATAATCCTTTTGCCACAGACATTCTGTAAATCAAGATTCACTCTTTAATGCAATACTTCTCAGAGGAGCACTGATAATCCCACCAGCCTTGCTAAATTTCAAAAGTAATAAGCGTTTTTCTCAGGATTTGTTATGGGAATATATAGAGACATTAAAATACCATTAGACCCTTCAATCTAAAAATAGAACCTAAGAAAAATGTCTAGAGTGTTTCAAAATAGCTCTCTAAAGAGTTATAACCATCCAAGAGCCATAATCTTTAAATTGCTGGACCAGGACGTGTGACATAGTGATATAATATTAATAACTAGCTGCCCTTTTAAACAGTAAGCAAAACGAGGAGCCATTTGTTCTTGCTTTGCATCAAATTCCACTGCCTATGAAGGGTTGAAGAATTTTGCTTTTCATCACATGGAACAGTGTGGTGAGACAGGCCACACTATTTTGGAATATAAGTATCTATATCCAAGCAACAAGTAGACTGACAAATGAAAAACAGTGCTCATCACAAGGGAGGATCCACTTTGGCTATCAGAATTACTATTTTAGAAATGGTGATTATTTTAAATTGATGTGTGAAGTATATCTGGTATTGTGCAAAAGTCCTTGACACATTTCAAATAAAATTAAAGAGGAAAGCTCTTATACTACTTCTATAATTATTTGTTGAAACATTCAATAAACAAATAAATAATGCTATTATATGGTGATAGTGAGATTTTTATGGTGTTTTCACTAGAAACGATATTCTAAAGTGATTCCTACCAAAAATTTATCCATTTTACCTCCAAAACTTTTAGAGAATTTATTTAAATTTTCTTAAAAAAATTAACAAAATTTTTACAAATTTTGTTATAGTGTATATCCATAATGGGTTTTTATCTACAAAAAAGTTCTGATAAGGACATAAACTTAAAATTACTGAATAAGGTACAGCCACAGAATTAAGTTTATATGGTTAACAGATTATTAAATTTTATAGATCACATCTTTTATAACTGTTAATTTGAATGACTTTTATACTTAGAAGTTACGAAAATGGTACATAAATTTTCCATATATCCTTCATCCTGGTTTCCATAATTTACTTATCTTACAAAGCTACAATATTATTAGAACCAGGAAATTAATATTGCTAATAATACCTTTAACTAAACTAAAGGCCCTATTCAAATACCACCAAGAAAGATCCCACATTGCATTTAGTTGTCAATTTTTACTTTTGTTTAACTAGCCTTTAAATATATTAGGAGAGCTCAGGATTTAAATACATTAGGAGAGCTCTTCATCCATAGGGTAGGAGGAGACAGAACTTTGCAGCAGGCACATTCTGAGATGGTTACCAATCATCTCTGCCTCCTGGCATTCTTGCCCCGTGTCAGTCTCTCCTCTTAAATGTGCGAGCCTGGTCATTTGCTTCCACCATGGAAGGTAATGGGATATCAATTCCATTATTAGGCCACCTAAGACTGTGACTTCCATCTTGCTAGCTAGCAGACCCTCTTCCATACTAGTTTTGATGAAACAAGTTACCATATTAGGGAGGCCCATATGGCAAGGATCGGAGGGTGAACTCAGTCCAACTGCCAGCTAGCCACTAAGGCCCTCAGTCCAACAGTCCTTGAAAAACTGAACACACTCCAACACTCCCATGATCTTGGAAGTGGATACTTCCCCAGTCAAGCCTTCAGATAAGACCTTAATTGCACCCTTGTGACTGACTCTAAAGGAGAGAATTCAGCTAAGCCACTCTCAACTTCCTGATTCACAGAAACGGTGAGGTAAAGATGAGTGTTGTTCTAAGCTGCTAAGAGTGTGATAATGTATTCCCCAGAAATGGGTAACGATACACTTCAACACATCACTTTGTCAGAGGCAAGCTACTGAGTTGGCTGTGCTATTCATCGATGAGACTCATGCCATCATTTTTTGAAAATACATTCCTAAATTTGTCTTTGCTAGGCTGAGCTGTTCCGTGAACAATGTTCACAAAGTCAGAAGTCACAGGCAGCTCCCAGAGCTGGGGCCCTTACTTAGCCATAAAGAGAACGTTAATGCTGGAAGAGTCTTGCAAGATCATCTGCTCCCATTTCCCCC